ATAAATAAATAGCCGAGAAAATAACAGCACTCCTGGCCGCCTGACGATTTCATCTAGCATGAAACAGACTGTCGCCTCTAAGTGTTGACTTCTATGTTCACTTTATATATATATATATATATATATATATATATATATATATATATATATATATATATATATATATATATATATATCCGCTACCAGAGCGGAGAATGGGGATAAGGTGAGAGGATGACAATCCCAATGCTTGGATGTGAGCGGATCCCGACTAGAGATCAAAGCTGACACTGGAGGTAAGAGATTCCTACTACTACTGTCTATCCATTGAAAATATTTATGGGAGAATTGTTTATTTAAGTCTTTACACATTAGCTCTTTTCTTCATCATGACATGTCAGTAACAAGAATTAGGATTTTAGCAAAGGTGTGTAAGTACGAAGTGAAATTTGAAGTCATTTCCTCGTATTTCTTTACTCCGTTGATAATCGTTTCGCCAGTTCCGGCAAATTCCTCTAAAGACAGACGGAGTAGGACAGACATACAGACAGGCAAACAGACAAATAGGCAGAGAAAACACAAGTATTTATTTATGTAAGCCTTAATCTTTGTTTCTCTTATTTCGCTGTTTTGCAGCTTAAAACTGAATTGAGGCCTACAGCTGTTTGTGTGCGGTCCAGCAATATTACAAAGATGGGTTGATAGAGAGGCGTCTCGAAAAAGAATTTGTCACGGAGAGTGGTACGCTTTTTTTCCCCTTAATTTTAAATACGAAATTGCATAATGAAACTGTTTTTTGGATAATCAAATGCCGTTTGTTGGTTAAATTAAAATGTTTCCCTGGTAGTGGATGAAGAAAAGTTAACGTCGTGATTGTTCGAGAAAATGAACTAAAAGAGATAATCTTCGGAGTATTTTTTTTAATTCTTCGGTTTTGTAAATGAGATAATTGGAAAATATGGTTAAAGGATTATTTAGAAGACGCTATTTGTCACAGATAATAGACTGGAATTGCCTTTGTTACTAACTCTTTTTCTCAGTGTTATACTTTTATTCTACTAAGACACAAGTGGTTACTGGGAGTGAAAGAGAATGAAAAGACATTAGTGAGTAGAAAAGACAATAAAAGAATAGGTTCAGGAAGCAGAAGATGGTGAATGACGTTGCATCTCTTTTGTTTTTTAAGATAAAAGCTAGAGAGGCAATGAACGGAAAAGAGTTTCACAGAGTAACGGATAGTGTGCATATAACTTTATAATGTTTTTATTCCTTTCATTATTGGGTTTGTTCCGTTTATTGCATTTTTTATATATATTTCTGGAAAATTGCAGCTGACACAGAAGCAAGAAATCAAATGAGAGTTACACAGACGAGAATTGCTAGAGAATAGAGAATAAAAATATAGAACCTAATTGCCAATCTAGCAGTACGCTTAAATTCATGCAATCGAGGTACAAAGAATCAGAACAATTGACATGTAAATATTTATAGAAAAGACAGACGGAAGCAACATCACGGCGGTCAGAAAGTGACTGAAGTTGAAATACCAAATCAGCAATGATTACATTACAGACCCTTTGAATTTTGTTAAAAATATCAAGATATATAGTAGCAGAAAATATGACAACAATATTCAATGCACGGACGAATGGTAGGTTTGTAAATGTGCAAGATGGGTTCTGAGAAAACGACATAGGGAACCAACTTTCTTAGCAGAAAACCTAGCAACTGTTTGTATATAATTAGTCCAATTCATGTGAGTGGAAAAATTAATCCAAAGAAAACGCAAAGAGTTTCCCTCCTGGAGGGTAGCATCAGCCATTCTAAACGAAGGGAGAGAATGTCCTCTATGATGATTAAATGTTAACAGTTTTTTTTTAGAAGTCATTCCTTGTCGCAACTTCATTCTTCAAAAATAAAGTACAATTACATTTTATTTAAATATGTATTCACAAATATTCATAACGACATATTGCCAGATATTCAACAGACGGTCAAAACCTTTAAATAAAATTTCGAGGATTTTGATGTGAAAAGTTTCAACAAAGTTTTGGATCTGATTTTTTTTAGACAAATTTCTACCCATGAAAGATTTTTTCCAACAATAAAAAGTAATTAACCTGTCCGACGTCAAGTGGATATGGCTGATGGGGTTTAATATATCAGTCGAGTTTCAGATGGGTTTCCAGCGTTAATACGACTGTATATGTCATTGCGTTGTCATGGAGGATAATATTTCCCTTGTATTCTACTGTGTACGCCTCCGTAAAAATAAGTTATGGTAATGCCGTCCAAATTTATTCTTCACTAATTTATATGGTTAGTACTTAGGATGATACATTCGTTATAACACTTGGTTCCCAAAAACGAAAATTAATTACCACACACCCCAATATTTTAGTGTTTTCACGAAATGAATTCTTTATCCGGGGACTTACCGAAGTTACACAACATCGAACCTGGTCAGTAACTAAATGGAAACACCAGGTGCTATAATCCTGCATTTGCGGTGTGGTGGATTGTTAACCGGGGAGCAAAGTTCCTAGTCCAGTTGGGTTTATTATATTCACTTACCTGAAAAAACTTTTAGGAAAGGTATGATTCCACCTATCCTCCCCGAGCTATGGGTTAATTAGCAAGACGTGTATCACTGAACCATTAGTACATGTGAAAATAAAATAAAATTGCATAAAAAATATTTAGGTTTCAGCATTAAATAACCCATAGAAGTGTTGATATGCCGTTAAACATAAACAACCAACCAACCAAGTTTATCTATTTGCATGCTTTTTCATCCCAGTCAATCTAACTTTTATTAAAGTGTGTTCATATAATTCTTCTATTTTATTATCAGTCTTTATGAATCTCATTTAATCTTTGTTTAATTTATACACCAAACTTTGTGTGTGCATATCTCAAGAAGGATTCTCTTAAGTTTTTGATGTCAATTTACCTGAAAGTGTTGCCACAAAATTTGATCTAATCTTAAATGAATGTGGTCGCGTCTAAATAGAGCCGGTCTAAAAGATAATCAAAGACGCTACACGTAGAGAAAAGTTTTTCTCTATGCGTTATGTTGAATTACAGTGGATGTAAAAAAAGAATGTCCTCAATTAGAGGATGAAAGTTCATAAAAATATTAATGTATGGACTACTGCAAAAGATGCTCAACGTTGCCACATCTGCACAAGAGAGTGTAAGACCCTAGCTGAATTAAAAGCCACGTCGGCATGGCACATATTGTTGTATTGCCCCCTTTGATCTGGGGGTCTCTTAGTTGACGGTCTTGGTTCACTTATATGTTGCTTTCTTCTTTCTGTCTTTTTCCAGCCGGATGATCGCTAGTTGTTCTTTTAGTTCGGAGATAAAATGAGACATTAACTAAGGGAATTTTGGACTTATCTATTTTATTAAACACGTCGACGTGTACATTTTTAACAAGAGAGTGAGGGCTCTCTATCAGCCCCACTGGGGGAGCAAGTTCCCCGAGTTCCGAAATAACCATGTCTGATATCTTCAACGTGAAAAATTTAACTCACTGAAATAACTTTCTAAATCTAACATTCCAACGTTCGGCTAAACCAATCAAAATCGAGATCCCTATTTTGTCTACCAGCTGAACCGAAGGTCATCTTTTGAAGGTCTGAGCCGAATACACTGCCACTAAATATAATAGTCTAAAACTATTATTTAACAATATTGGCAGAGCGATCAAGCGATAGCATTGTTAGAAATCGAGTTTGAGTCATTATCATATATGTTTCTATGGATGGGAAAACTGTATGATTAGGGTTCAGTTATTCTAAGTGGTTCAATACTATATATATTGAGGATCTGTGGACAGAATCTCGCTGATCGCAGATAACTATTTTCTGTAACTTTTTCCTTCTAAACTACTTTATATCTTTCAAACTTGTGTCGCAGTTTCTTTCTTCTGACGTAAATTCGGGCCAGGGATCTAATGATGGAAAGATTGTATTCCGCCAAATAGTCAGTATATAGAGCCTTCCCGGCATATATAGTGATTAAGAATATCTTAGTTGTGGTACAAAAGCGAAAAGTTTAAAGCATTCAGTGAGGATCGAACTCATTACACAGTCGTTATAGATCTAAAAAGATGAAAGGTGCTTACCATTGCACCTTGTGAATGTGCCCTTTCCGCCATTTATATCAGCATTCGAAATTTGTACGCCGTCCTCAGGTATCGAGGTGAAATAGCTTAGTCACGAGGTTTAACCGCATCTGTCTATATGAGAACATATTAGGATGGATCAATAAGTACATAACTTGAAGAAGTTATTAGATGAGATTTGATTTGGAATTTTCATATATGTATCATTACATGATACATATATATGATCTATGAATATTTCAGGTAACAAATGATTTTAAATCATTACGATTAATATAGTTACGTATGTTTATTAAACTCCGGTAAATAACAAAGAGTTTCAAATGCTAAGAGTTTCTTCTATCACACATCTCGCTTTTTGGAACTGTCTCCTGGTTCTATCCTTTCCAGCCAACTTTGATCTTCAAAAATTTAAATACAATGCCATTCGTTATTTTTTGTCCCCTTAATTCTTGTTCTTTTATTGTTCTCTCTTCTTAATAACATTTTTCTCATATTCACTAACATTCAGGAACCGGTAACATCTTAGTGGCTGTATTGCCTTGCTTGGAGTGGAACGATTAAAAAAATTAGGAAGAATATGTTGCGCCAAGCATTATCGTAGTGCAGTTTTCCCAAACAGTATGGCGCGCCTCAAAGGTTTGGCGGAAGAAGATAACAGGTCAGGTGGAATGATTGAAAAACAACCAAAGACTTAGAGACAGTTTGAAAAACTTCATTTGCTAAATGTGATTTCAACACTTAAAATATTATTACGAATTACTTATAATTGCATGCATGGGTGCCAGTGTAAATAATTATAAATAAGTATTAATTGATTTTATCATTGTGATATTTTGGGATTATATCAAGTATTAAGAATATAGTAACTAGTGTCCGCAATTTGGAGGAGAGAGTTATCAATAATATTGTTCTAAATTCGAATCCGCGGCTATCTCCCTTTAACCCTCTCTCTCTCTCTCTCTCTCTCTCTCTCTCTCTCTCTCTCTCTCTCTCTCTCTGGGCCTTCTTTTCCGTAGGGCTGTTTTGCGCATTTTCACCGGGACTTCCCTTTGGCGGGGCAGGAGCAAATATTCATTCCGAAAATGCGGCCCAGAGAAAATAAATTTTGGAACCACCGTCGTAGTGATTATTTGGTTATCTTTCAAATCACTATTTAAAATCTAAGACTCGAAAGTTCTAGTGTGTAATGGGGAAATGGGGAGAAAAGATGTTGGAAAATGACTTAAAGGATGAAGAGTAACTGAATGCGTTCATAATTATTATTCAAAATCCTGATTTTGCTACCTGGAATCGAACGACGACTATTACCATTGGGGCGGGGGGGGTGAAATACAAAACTAATTCGTCTGTTAATTCTTTTTTTTTATTATTCGTGTTTTTATTTCTCGATTATATGTTCGATTAAAATAATTACCTAGGGGCGGGGGGAGAATAGAATCGCGTAGCCGAAGAGAGTTCTATTTGGCGTTTGGAATTAAAGATGTTTAAAGATATACATTTCTATTTTAGCCATTTCTGACAGGCCTTCGTGAGATTTATCGACCGTATACTGCGATAGCGAGTGAAATTTTAGCGGTTAGACATCTTGCCGCTATCTGTGTCGCCTCTAACCTCTCAAATTGCACTTGTTATCGAAGCATAAGTCCGATAAAACACACCAAGGCCTACATAATATGATTAAGATTAACGAATATACCTTTAAACAACCTGAAATTTTAATCTCGTATCCCATATAAGACTCCCCACGGTGCCTGTTGCCAACTTTTTTACCGTTGGCAATTAGTCGCATTATTGTTTCGTTTCCTTAGTGGGCGTCTTATATATATATATATATATATATATATATATAAATATATATATATATATATATATATGTACGCGTGTTAAACTCGTAAGTCGTTGCTTGTGAGTCTGATGTTCGATGAGCAATCCTTCTTGTCAAGTACTTAAATTAACATCGATAGACAAATATCTTCCCTTTATTCTTCTGTTTTTCATGTTCTTGTGACTTTTTCATTTTTTTTAATCATTTCACCCTTTCTGATTTTCATGTTCTTGTGAATTTTTCATTTTTTTTAATCATTTCACCCCATGCAAGGCAGTAGAGCCACTAAGACATAAGGGTAAAAGAATAAGATAAAAAAAGAAACATTATTAACACAATAGAAGAGCAATCATGAAGACTGTAGATAACGATTAACATTACATTTAAATTTTTAAAGAACAATCTTGTCTGGAAAGGATGGAACCAGAAAAGAATTCCTTTATTGATAAGTGTGATAGAAGAAAGTATTAGCACAGAACTTACGGTTACATCTAGCAATTTCAAGTGTCAAATGATGAGACCTTGACACCAAATCTAGTGTGCTGCTCTTGAATTCATAAATCTCAGTATAATAACGGGAAGTTCTTAAGAATAATTAACATGAAAGTATTTATAGAAAAGGGACATGGAGGATACTTTACTGCTGGGGGGAGGGACTGAAGGTGAAATGCCTGGTCAGGACCAGTAACGTTGCAGATTCTTCTCAGGATTTTATCATGAGTCTCTGAATATATGGCAGAAGCACCAGACCAGATGTGGCAGCAATATTCGAAGTACATGACGAATGGGAGAATTATAAATATATAAAGAGAGATCGTAGCGAGAAAATTGTCTAGTACGAAATAGTGAAGCAACTTTCTTAGCTGCAGAAAGCACAACGAATTACTCTACTTGAGGTTAAAATCAGCCATGTTGATGGAAGGTAAAACGGGTTCTCCCACATGATTAAAAGAGTCCTTTGTTTCTGAGAACAGAAAAGACGCAGGGCACCTACGGTGGGAAAGTGACTGAAACGAAATGCCAGGTCAGGTCCAATAATATTGCTGATTCTTTAGATTTTATCACGAATCTCTCAGTGATTTTGCATTCTACTTCCTCTTTTTTCTATAAGCATTCTGGGAATCTGTCATTTTCTATCATTCATTCTAATAATTGTTTTTGTCTTTCTCATATTTCCGTTTTATAAAATTCTTGAATTTTTCTTATCATTCTGTCCTTAATTGATTCATTCGTTAGTTCAATTCTTTCAGTTTTTTTTTTTTTTCTGTCTTTCTTTTTTTGCCTTTTCCTTTTTGTTTTATTTTATGTTTCGTTTTGTTTAGTTCTCTTTCTTTCCTTTTTGTCTTTCTGATTTTCTTCATTATATAAAGTTAATATTTTATCTTCTTTCTTTAGGTATTACTTGTTTTATTCTAATTTAACTTTCCTTTTTTTCTTTATTACTTTTCGCGCCTATCTTTTCTTTCTTTTCTTTTCTTTTTTCTTTCTTTCCATTGTAATACGATCTTTTTCTTTTCTTTTTCTATCTTTTTTCTTTCATTCTTCCTTCCTTACTCTTATGTTTGTTTCTTTTCCTTTCTCCCTTTCATACTTTCGTTTTTCTTTCATGCGTGTTTCTTACTATTTATGTTTATTTTATGTTTTTACTTTCTTACTTTCTTTCCTCTTCCATCTGTTCTTTTGCTTTTCTTCTTTCTCTTTCCCTCTTCCTTTCTTTCTTACTTTCTTGCTTTCTTTTTCTTTCTTTCCGCTGTCATCTGGCCTTTTTTTCTTCTTTTTTTCTTTTTCTTCTTTTTTCTTTCTCGCGATTCCACTTTCTTTTTTCTTTATTCATTTGTTACATGTTAGGTTTATTTTGTCTGTTTCTTTCTTTCTCTTTCTTTCTTTCTTTCTTTCTTTCTTTCTTTTATCTTTCTTTTTCTCTTTCTTTCTTTCTTTCTTTTTTCTTTCTTTTTCTCTTTCTTTCTTGTTTACTTTCCATTGTCATACGTTCTTTTTCCTTTATTGTTCTTCTTTTTTCTTTCTTTCTATATTTATATTCTGTATTTATTTATTTGTTGATTTGATTATTTATTTTTATCTCTTTCTTTTTTTCTTTCTTTCTTTCTTTCTTTCTTTCTTTCTTAGATATGTCCCCGTCGATTTTTTCTCCCCTCACGTCGTTTTTTTTCCTTTCTTTCTTTCTTTCTTTCTTTCTTTCTTTCTTTCTTTCTTTCTTTCTTTCTTTCTTTCTTTCTATCTTTATTTCTTTCTTTCTTTCTTTCTTTCTTTCTTTCTTTCTACCTCCATCCTTTCTATTTCCTTTTTAATTATTTTTTCATAATACTGTTTTGTGATATCTGTTTTTTCTCCTCTTCCTCCTATTACGTATTCACACTGTCCTCCGCCATCTTTCTGACAGTCCCGATATCTCGGTATATTATCCTTAATACAAATAATCTCTCAACCCCAAACTCTTTTCTCAATAATCATTTCCTCTTTATTCATTTTTCATGTGTTTATTTTAATATCGCTCGTATCTAGTGTAAACGGGCGTGGTCCACTTGCCATCCATGCCCGTGCCAACCGACCGACCGACCGGCCGGCGCAATTGCACGTGACCAGTCGCCGCACGATGACTCAAAAGCCATGCTTTCTTTTTCGCAATTACCAACTCTTTGTTCACAATAAGCCCAACGCTTATTTCCTGTTGTTGTTCCAAATGATGGAGTGCTTTCTTCCGTCCGTCCGAAGACAACAACGCGATCGAAGCTTTCTCGAATAACTGTTTTAATTGTCACCATACGCGGACTTCGTTCAAGTGCAGTCCGTTGTTATCTCCCTTGTTATTTATTTATTTATTTATCTTGTAATAGCGTCTGCATGTCATTGTCTTTTATCTTTTATTTTTATCATTTTGATGACAGTTGTCCATTTGGGACAGAATGCAAGGCTTTCGGATTTCCCTTTTCAGGTCGGCTGAGCAGAATAATTTATTTTTCTGACCTTTTCGAAACTGCTTTTATTTAATCCTGGATTGAATCCTGACCGTTGGCGCTATCTGCTGCATAGCGTGTGTTGCCAGCCTGGAACCGTTTCTTCACTGTTGCATCACAAATGTCTCTATGTTAACGTAAGTCCATCAGACACATGCAAATACATTAAATGACTTTGACTAAATGATAATTGCATTAGTTACCAGCTTGTTATAACGTGATGGTTATTTCATGTTTCCAAAGCACATCAGATTTTTAACAAAAATTATTCATCTGTTTATTTAATTTAATTTACAGCTTCCAACCAAGTCCGTTTTATTGATTTACTACCCAAGTAACTTTCCCTTAGCTTTCTAGTTAGTCGGGGTGTCATACCGAATATTTCCTCTTCATAGTAGCTCTCAAGACAGTTGGCGGGGGTTGTTATTTGGTAGTGTCCGCTTCATTTCCATGTTGTACGTGACAGGATGTACTGGGTGACATGGTTTCAACACTAAAGAACGACCCATGACCAACGATGGAACGTCCAAGATGGATTGCCTTTAAAAGGTTAGAAGTTCTATCTTTATTTATCTCCATAAAAACATTTCAGTATTATTATTATTATTATTATTATTATTATTATCATCACAACGCACTCGAGTAAGCAGTACGCCTTCTTGTTTCCGATTTCCAAAAAACTAAATCACCATTGAAAAGAATGAAATTTCAGACCGGGTGTGAGTTAAATCTAAAGGAAGACGCATCGAGGTAGATACTCACGGTTACCGAGGATGAAAGACAATAGAATGAAGAAAGCCGAGAAAATGTGAACGAAGACAAAGATTAAAACGATTCCCGTTCATTTAATGTTTTTTATATTGCAGCTGATAGGAAAGCAAGAAGCTTAAAGAGATCCATGGACGACAAGTGAGAGACAAGAAACCAGGATAGGGTCGATAGTATTGACAATATTGATAATATTGATATTGATAATATTGATGATGTTGATATTGATAATGTTGATAATGTTGATAATATTGATATTGATTATGTTGATAATGTTGATAATATTGATAATGTTGATATTGATAATGTTGATAATACTGATGTTGACAATGTTGATAATATTGATAATGTTGGTAATGTTGATAATATTGATGTTGATAATGTTGACAATATTGATAATGTTGGTAATGTTGATAATATTGATATTGATAATATTGATAATGTTGATAATATTGAAAATATTGATATTGATAATATTGATTGATATTGGTAATATTGATATTGATCATATTGATAATATTGAGCGATTTTGTCAAGAATCTCTAGATACACTGGAGAAGCAGCAGATCAGATGTAGCAACAATATTCAATGGACAGGTGAATGGTAAACTTATTAAGGTGAAAGTCAGATTCTGGTGAGAAAAATTGTCTAGCATCACACAATTTCCCTAGTAGCAGACTTAACAATTGATTCGATATAATTGTTTCCATTCATATCAACAGGTTACTGAGATTGAAAGAAACTGAGAAAGCCTTACTGTGGAGAAAGGATAATAAAAAAACAACATTCAAAAAGACAGAAAATGGCGTTTGACTTTGCATTTTCACTGCCAAGAAGTGCGAGAGAAGCAACTATTATAATAGAATTTACGGTAATATTTAGCATTTTCAAAAGTAAAACGATGAGATCTAATTGCTAATCTAGTAGTATGCTTAAATTCGTGCAGTCGAGGTGCCAAGATCATCAAACAATTTCCATTGACATGTTCGTAGCAAAGGCACAGAGAAGCTACGGTAAGACAGCGGGAATGTAACTGGACCCAAGATGCCAGATCAGGACCGAAAATTATATTATACGTGCAAAAATAAATGAAGATAAAAACCGAGGATAAAAAAAAGACAATGAACTTTACTGAATAAATAATATAATTTTTAGCGGTATTCAGAAACTAAACAAAATAACATACATTTTTAATGGGGTTTTCAAGAACCCCCCCCCCATGCCGTAACAATTTTCCACTGTACTAATGGAGGCTTAACGACAGAAAATTGAATTGGCAAAATAAATTCCAACTCCAGCAAAGTATTTTTGCATTCACTTTGCACGAACGCCCTGAGGAAAAAGGCATGAACTCAATTGTCTCTACTCCGAGGTGATGGTAAATAATTAGTAAGATGGGATATTTTACTCTGACATTTCGTCGATATTGGGCGTCGTCCTTAGCAGCTCGACCATGAAAAAATAACCTGCTACTAAAACAGCAGCGGGGCACCTCCTGGCGGTGTAATGATTAGCAAGCTTGTCTCGCTAGAATCATTACGTCTGAGAAGTGAGTTCGATCCTCACTGGTTGCTCCATACTTTCGGCCTTGTGCCACATCTAAGCTATGCTTAGAAAATTGCTTTGGGTATCTCTAGGTGGTGTAATGGTTAGCAAGCTTGTCTAGCTCGGAACTATTGCTACTGAGTAATGAGTTCGATCCTCACTGGGTGCCCCATACTTTCGGCCTTGTGCCACATCTGAGCTACGCTTGGAAAATCACTACCAAAACAGCAGCGGCATTAATTGGTATAATTCTGCACTTTCTACGCTCTGCAATATGACCATATACTTCCACTTCTGTTACAGTACTTTCCTTCATGGCTATGACCCACCAAGCCATTCACATTTTAGCAAACTACACATATTCTTTCCGTATTCCATTAGTAAGTTCCACTCGAACAGCCTCGTCCCGCGAGCCATTGCTCTGTTCAACTGACTCCCAAGAGGATGTTTCCCCGATCACTACAATTTTTTCACTTTCTTAAACTACCTCTTAATATAACCCTCTACACCGAGTAACTCCCAGGCCTTGTAAAGGGGAAAAACACATTACTCATTTGAACTGATTAAATTAATTATGAACCTTCCATGTTTAAATATTCCTCTTCTATGCCCTGTGTCCCTTCAGAACGCCCGTCCTTGGTATGACGATAACATACAACCGACAGCAAGTTCTCTGATCGGGATATTAGGGGTTTTAAAGAGCGTGGAATCACTTATTATTGCTGTTCTTACCAGGTCCACCCTGATCCGGAATGATAATACATGTTAGGCTCCCAGATATGAGCAAATAGTGAAAACCCAAACAAAAAATCAACAGTACATATTTTATAATAAAATGAGTAACAATACATTGACAATGCATCAATAAAAAAAAAATATAAAAAATACATTTTTATATTAAAATTACCAACTATATATTTTATGATCTACAAACTATATATCTAAAAAAAACTACCTTTACTCTGAAAATATAGAATTATGTAAAAAAATATATGTATTTGAAAATATAATATTACAAACAAAATATTTAGATTTCAGCGTTAAATAACCCATAGATGTTTGTATGCCGCTAAACAAATTCATCGACGACCATGGCTCTCAACAGCGTTCTTTCTTTTTTAGCTCTTAGTAAAGCTTGTCTTTTTTGCTATCACTCCTAATCCAAGTTCTACCAACCGTTTATGCATGCTCGTTAGACAGGTAATTTGTTACTTTCCTCTATTTCCTCTATTTCTCTTAACTTTAATATGTCGTTTGAGTGTCAAATTCTCCAAGCCTTCTTTCCTTATATGGCCAAGACATTTCCAATATTTCTTTCTGGTTGTAAGTAGAAGTGTCTTTTTGTTTTCTTTTCCCATAAAACTTCCTTGTTATTCAGATATTCATACCATGGCATTCTCAGTATTCTTCTGCGCTGGTATTACATAACTATAGTTCAGTACTCTTTTCTTTGTTTCTCACAAAATATTCCTTGTTTGTACATATTTTGCTTAGATTTTGGAAGACATATTTCGTTATTCCAATGCACCTTGCGTCGTATTTTCCGTCCTCTGTTAAAACAATTCCTAAATATTTAAATTTATGTGCTACCTTGATTTTCGTGTTTCCAGTTCGTAGGTCGCAATTCGGGCTGTTCTATTTGCTGACAAGCGTACATTGTGTCTTCTTGCAATTGATGTTTGGCCCTTTTTTTTTCGTTTTTCTTTACTACCGTCTCTAGCAGTTCCTGTAGCTTTTTTTTCTGTCTGCTACCAACACTGTGTCATCTGCATATCTTCTTCATCGATGTGCCTCATTTCTTCAGAGCATAAGCGATCATAGCTCTCCATACCTTCTTCTCTCGTATGACTCTTAGTAGTTTTTTCTCCCTTTGCTATCGCACCCAACCACCGTACCGCTATATTTAATACTAATAATTAATCCTTGTAAGATTTCTAATCCGCTCAAGATTATATCGCTGTAATGATTGAATATGTCCAGTGAGAAAAGACATCATTACCCTACACCCTCTTCTGTTGTTTTTTTTTTTGTTTTTTTTTTTTAATATTTACTAAGTTCATTTTCTATACATATACAAGCAATATGCTACCAGTATACGTTCTGGACTATGGGAACGTTCGCATTTTGACCATAAGACCCGGTTTCGAATCTCACCATGGTCAATTTGTCAGAATGTTATGATGTTATCGGACTGGAGGGGGTCGATTCCAGCGTACGGCACCTTCGGAAAGTGCATGAAAACCAAAACACGGGTTAACACAAGCCTTGTGAGTGAAATTGGGTAGACGGAACCATTGGGAGCCGTCGATAGCTGTGCTAACACGAAGTCACAAGTCATCGTGGCTGAGGGCTTGAGCGTGTTGGTCTTGTTCAACTTGTTAATCACACTAAATAACACGCTCTTTCCCAGAAACTGTAACTAAGGTCTGCTCAGCATAGTTGCACTATAAACCACACGTGGCCTTGTGAATAAAC